AAAATAACTTCGGAAAACCTTTTGTAAAATGAATCAAAACAGTTATATGACTATAAAAATAACATCATAATATGAAATTCTTTCTTAAAACAAATCAAAACAGCTATTACGAAACAAACTTTGAAAACTAACTTCAGAATTTTTGTAAGGAAAACCTACAAAAGTTTAAAACAGTTCTACAAAACAAAATTCTATAAAACTAACTTCATAAAGTTTTTCGGATCGGCAAACTAAGTAAGAACTTATGAAAACATCAAAGGAGAACGAAAGGGATGAGACATAGCCAAGAGCAAACCAGCTCTCTTCTCTCTTCTCCCAGCATCGCCCTCTATCTCTTCTCTCCTCCCATAATCGCTCATTCTCCTCCCAGTATCGCCCTCTCTCTCATCTCTCCTCCCAGCATCGCCCCAATGCCCTCACTCTCCTCCCAGAAAATCCCTCTCTCTCCTCTCACCTCCCATAATCGCCCTCACTCTCCTATCTTCTCCCAGCATCGCCCATTACCTCCTCTCACATCTAGCATCGCCCATTACCTCCTCTCTCAATCAGATCGCCCGTTGATTTTACAAGAATCACCCATTGCCTTCTCTCTCGTTCAGAATCGCTCGTAACTCCTCCTCGGTCCTCAGCATATCCCTTACCTCTTAATATATCGGTTAATCCTCTAGATAAAATGTGGTTTCAGTCAAAATCCTCCACCGTTGGTAGCAGCGACAAACAAAGGACTGAAGTACAAAGTGCTTCAGTCTCTCCCAAAGCTCACTGTATCGCTGAAATTACATTCGTCAGAAAAACTTGCCCAACCATGGCGACAAGATTTGATTCTTGTTCGTCAAAGAGAATGGAGAAGAAAAAAAATTTAATATTTTCTTCAATGCTAAAAACAAAAACAACAACAAAATAAAAATGTCACAAAGATTTTCGTACTGTATGAGACTGGAGTCATATTTAATTATCGTGTTTAATTAACACACTAATGATACCGAGTTCAAAGAGAAAAAAATTGAATACTGTATGAGTTCAAAGATAAAAATGTCAAAGAGAAAAATGTCATATTGTATGAGTTTAATTAACACACTAATGATAACGAGTTCAAAGATAAAAATGTCGTACAAAGATTTGTGTATTGTATGAGACTGGAGTCATATTTAATTAACACACTAACGCTAACGAGTTCAGAGAGAGAAAGATGAATTATCATGAGACTGGAGTCATATTTACACGTATCATCTGTTTAGGTTGTATAAGACAAGATCAAAATTGTTAAAGTTGTTATTACCNTGATAACGAGTTCAAAGATAAAAATGTCGTACAAAGATTTGTGTATTGTATGAGACTGGAGTCATATTTAATTAACACACTAACGCTAACGAGTTCAGAGAGAGAAAGATGAATTATCATGAGACTGGAGTCATATTTACACGTATCATCTGTTTAGGTTGTATAAGACAAGATCAAAATTGTTAAAGTTGTTATTACCCTTTTTCCCAAATTAGCATATATTTTCTATCACTGGAGCTTCGAAATAATCTCTTTTTAATGTCAATTTTAATTTAACTACATTCTGACCCGTTCTCCAAAGGGCGGATATATTTTTGTTTTCATTATTTTAGAAATTTAATTTTCATATCTGTGTTTTTCTTTGTAATCATATTTTTGTTATTCATTGTAATTGTATTTGTGAAAATAATTCTTTTAAATGATTAGTAAGAGGTTTTGATAATTGTATTGAATTTAGTAAGAGGTTTCGAAATAGTCTATTTTGAATGCCACTTTTAATTTTAACTAGATTCTGACCAGCCCTCCAAAGGGCGGGTATATTGTTTGTTATTAATAAGCATAATATTATTATTAATTTTGAATTATATTTTAATTATTTAAATATCTAATTTGGATAAAATGTAAATTCATATTGAATAAGGTATAGGTTTCAAAAAGCAATATAGAAGAGGTAGTTTTCAAATACCAGACTGATAATAGAGTAATTTAAAAATTATCCCTCGTTATTTTCCATTAAAATTAGTTAAATACTTTATTAAATTCAAAAAAAAACAAAAACAAAAACAAAAAAAAACATACAAAGATTCAAACTCTTGTAATGTAATACACTAAATATAGTTATTTATCAATGGTGGTGAGGTTAGTCAGAACATATTCAAAATACATTTATATAATGTTTTTTACTCTTCAAAACTGAAATCTAAAACTTTAAAATTGAAATTTTGAATTGTAAAACTTCAAATATAAAGTGTTACTATGCAAAACTTTAAATTTAAAGTTTCATATTTTATTTACATTTTGGTTCTTACATTATTACACTAAATATAAAATTGTAGATAGAAATATATAATTAAATATTAAACTACAAACAAAAGACCACATTCAGTTTTGTAATATTGTTGTTGTATAGTTTTAGTTTTAAGAAATTTTAAATCTTATCTTAATTTTTTTAAAAAAATATTTATAAAGTTTGAATTTATTTAAAAAAATTGAAATTTTATGAAATAAGAATTATTATGGATTACAACTATAAAGAAAAAAATATTTAACAATCAATATTTCTGTAGTATTTTCATATATGTGCTAGTTATTTATAAATTTTTTATGAACTTTAACTAGTTATGAAAAATATAGGGACCATAGTAAAATATAAATAGTTTGAAGTTAAGTTTAAAAAATTGTTTTTGGAGAATAATACATTTAAACTTCAAATATAGAGTTTTGGAAACTCTAAAATAGAGAGTATTTTTGGAGATGCTCTTAGTACTATAATATTAAAAGAGAGAAAAAATAAGATTAAAGAGAATAAATATTGAAATTTCTTTAGAGAGTGAGATGATGGAGAAGAAAATAAGATGAAATTGTAGAATGTATATAAGACTGTGTTTTCTATTGAATAAAACCACCACAATTAAAGATTAAAAAAAACTTTAAAAAATTAACATAATTTGGAAATAGGATAAATAAAAACACCATAGATCTATAAAAGCACTTAGCAGATAGCTTCGACAGCGAGCCTCCTAGCAGCACCATTGCAATCAGGTGCTCCAAACTTTTCCGTAGAAACATTAAAGGAGCACTTCTCTTTTCCCACACATTCTTGTGTGAGAATATCAACAATGTTGTTACTTGATGCACAAGTTCCTTTTTCGAAAGATCCACAATTGCCATCTGGGTTACCAAAAGAGGCAAATTTGATGGCAGAAATGGATTTTCTGTCACATGAAAGCTCAATAATTTTTTTCTCATAGACATTAGCACATACACTTCCCACTCTAGTAGTTTGGAAATTCACAAGTGATGGGTTTCCTCCCATTTCCTCAAACAAAACTAGAGTGTTATTTCCACTTGTGTTCAAGAAAGAACGAGGAATATGGTACCTGTTCAAGAAAGCAACAAATCCCATTAAATATTTCTCAATTTTAACATTAAGATTTTNTTTTTCTCATAGACATTAGCACATACACTTCCCACTCTAGTAGTTTGGAAATTCACAAGTGATGGGTTTCCTCCCATTTCCTCAAACAAAACTAGAGTGTTATTTCCACTTGTGTTCAAGAAAGAACGAGGAATATGGTACCTGTTCAAGAAAGCAACAAATCCCATTAAATATTTCTCAATTTTAACATTAAGATTTTAAATTCTGGAATCTAATAAGATGTTGGAAAATGTACCATCTTTGTGTAGGTTCTCCACAATTGGTTAGACACTTTTCAGCATGATAAGCCCCTCTATAATCACATTTCGCAGAACAACCATTTTCGCTTGAAATGAATGTGGGCCAATAACGTCCAATGTTGTTTCCATTGACCCATGCTGTACCTTTTCCAAGTCCCAAAAGATCGACAACAACTGGATCATTTCCCAAAGGAGCCTTGAACGTAGTCTGAAAGAAAAAAATGGAATGATGTGATTTGATATTAAGTCAACAAGGGTTTGGTTTAGTAATCTTATGGATATTGATATCTATTTACCTTATACCAAGTCATGGTTCGGTTAAATGGTAGCCTTTCCACTGACCATTTAGACACTGATTCTGTTTTAAAGAGTTGGTTCTCAAACCCATTTAAACCGGTTTTATAACTCCATTTATGAGCAGACAAGTCTTTAGTAATAGTTTCATCACCATTTTTACCGATGATAAAAATGGGTCCAGTTATTCCAGCTGGCTTACTTTCAAAGAAAGCACCATAGTTCTATAAAAATTGACAAAAATTTACTTGTCAGCTAGAAATGAAAAGAGATTTTCAACTTTAAAAAATACAAGATAAAATAATATTTAAGAACTTACCGCAAGTCCCACAGTTATGCTAAGAAGAGAAATAACATTATGACCAGACTTAAACTTCACATCTTTCTCAAATACATAGTGAAATTTTCCATTCTCAACATGTTGATTACCTAAATCAATGAGTTTTTGGTAAGTTAGTATTATTGAGATTTGAAAAACATATATGAGTTTCTTACCAATATGCTTTCCATTGACAAAAACGTGAAGGACATGAGCAGTACTGTTGATGCGAAGAGACATGCCTTTACCCAAAAATGGATCTCGTTTTTTAAACTTAACAGTAGTCATGTACCATAGATAATCACTTTGGTCATTGCTTACTACTTTCTGATCCAAAAGTTGTCTCGTTGTAGATTGTCCTTTTCCTTTCAAAAGGAAGTTGTCCATGTTCTCTGGTCTCCATGACCATTTCAAACTTGACGGGCTATCCTCAGCTTCATTTGGTTTCTTAACCATCATTGATGTTTGAGTGGTAATCTGAAAATTTAAAATTAGCACAACATTGAATCTTGGTTACAATTTTAAATAACAATGGTTGTTAGTAAAGAAAATGTTAAAGAAAAACCTTGGCGGTGTTATAAGCCTCATTTTTGCAATCTGGTAAAATGGTAACAGACCAAGCCGGTACAACATAAGATCCTCCTTGGAAACTAATTGTTGCATCTGAAGTTTCATTTCCGTTTAGAAAAAAACAGCTTGATCCTTCTTCGATTTTATAAATGGTTGCCTGTAACATGTTCATGATAAGTAATTAATTCAGTAATAACATGTACAATAATAATAAAAAATAACAAAAATATTACCGATGCCGAGTTTCCAAAGTTAATGGTGGATATGTTTCCGTATGTAAGAGTTTTCTCCATAGAATGAAGAACATCATGAAGTTTTTTTAGATGCCCGTATTTTGGTTGATTCAAATTACCTAATAGATTTTACCATGTTAGTAAAAATAGAAACTTCTAAAATAGTTTTAAATATGAATTTAGTTTAAATTTACCATATTCGTCCAGGGGAGCATCATAATCATATGAAGTTGTGATGTATGGACCACCTGCAGTTCTATCAAAGTTGGTGCCTCCATGGTACTACAATAATAAAAAAAAAATTCAATTAATTTTACTGGTTAATGACACTTTTCGGTAAGCTTATTTATTTAAATAAGTTAAATTATTATTATTAAATTTTACCATATAATAATTATTAAATGTTCCTCCTCTTTGGAAGAATTTTGCAACAGAAAATGCAACATCTTCAGTTGTTCTATGGGGATTTTTACCGCCCCATTGCTTAAACCTAAACACATATAAGATAAAATATATCTATTTTTGATAAAATATTTAGAAAATAAGAAAAGATATTTAATCACACTGAAAATAAAACTAACCATCCAGTCCAATTCTCAGTCCACATCTTAGGAGTGTTGGGATTGTTTGGTACAAAATTGTCACAGTAAAAGCCATTACATGTATTCAACTATAAAAGCAAACAATTTTAAATAATTTAGAATTTATTAAATAAATATTCATTATAATTAGGTTTCTCTAATTACCATAGGCTGAGGAGCGTCATTTTGTTGACACATTATCCATGGAACACCAACATCAAGAGACTGAGCCATGTTTGCGCACCACTTAATGTATGCTTTACCCGATTCCCCATATGGTCCCATTACATTTCCATATTCATTTTCAATCTTCAAGATTAATTAAAAAAAAAAATATTGTTAGTAATCTTATATAACATTATGAAACACATGATGTATTTAAAATATTAGATCTGTTACCTGAGCAAGAATAATTGGGCCTCCTTGTGATGCAAATAAATTTTCTTTCTTGACCATGTCTACTATCATCGTTGTGAAGTTTTGCATTTCATCCTATACATATCCATACAAAATTAAATCAAAATAATACATATTTGATAATAAAAAAGGTAGTACTGATCATCGAGTAAGATTACCATAAATGCTTTGTTTGTAGTTCTAAACACCATTCCAGGCATATTGTGCAGCCACACGGGGAATCCTCTGTTTAAAATGATTAGACAATTCGTAGATCAAAAATATTACACGAGAAAATGTCAGAATACAAGAGGCTAACTCGTTATGATGAATTATTAAAAATATATGCAATTAAAGAAACTAGCTTTTGATTTTTATGATACATAAGTTTTGGTATACTGATTAATAAAATCAATCTATTGGACCATTTGAGATCAAAAAATTATAAGGATAATAGTAATATCACTATACAAGTAGGCTAACTTATTATGAAATTTTATTAAAGTGGTATATATTGCACTTAAAGAGACTAGCTAAAATCCATTTTAGTATATTACCCGTAATTCCACTCGGCACATGCATATGGTCCTATGCGAAGAACACCATACAATCCTTCATCTTGAATGGTTTTCAGGAACCGAATAAGATCTAACTTTCCAGAAAAATCATATTGACGGCGAGTAGGCTCATGCGCATTCCAGAAAACATAAGTTTCGATCGCATCAAGACCTCCTTCTTTACCCTTTTTGATAAGATCCGGCCACATCTAAACATATTAACAAAAACAAATAAAATTAGTAGCAAACATAGAAGATTAATACCACACATACTGTTTAGTGTAAGGTAAATTAAATACCTCAGGTGTGCTTCTAGGGTAATGGATCGAACCAGAAAGAAGGACTCGGCGATGACCATCGATGGTGATGGCTCGGCCATCATGAGAAACTATTGTGGCATAAGCACTACTTACTAAGAGAAAACATAAAATAAATCTTAGAGAAACCATGTTTACTTAGAAGAACAGTTTTTGAATGAAGAAATATGAAAGGAAGCAAATCTTTTTATAGGGGCATAAAATTGTTATCTAAAGATAATTTGGATAATTATAGATATTCCCACCAAAAAAACAAAATTGTAACTAATATTTTATTTCAGTATAAATTTGTTTATCTTTTAACTAATTTTGTGAAATTTTAACCAATAAAAAGCATTTATCTTGATTTATAGTTTGATTTTGATTTTGGATAATAACAGAATTTCTGTCAAAAAATCTGAATCACTGTAGCTTGGTCATTAATATTTGTTTTCAATTGATTATATCTTAAAAAATATCTGAATGAAAGCATCATATTTATTTATATATTTTCATCTAAATGTTTGACCAATTTGAGTTTGAATAACCTTTCACTACTTTCTGTTTCTCACAAAGGTGACAAAAATAATTGTCTTGACACCTCTGTTTTTATATCATAAATATATTGTTTGTGTTGATCAAATTTGTGTATGAGAATTGAATAACCTTTTTACTAAATTTACGATAAGGATTATTTTATTTTATTTACAAGAATAGAATAAGCGTTTTACAACAACTGAAATCACCCAAAAATCATATTGTTTACAAGAAGGGGCTAGAAGTGTTAAGAGAATAATAATGCATATGCCGTGCCATTTTAAACATAGATACATAGAACAAACTTCGTATATTCTTTTCTTGGAAAGGAAATAGAGTAATTTCTGTCCAAATAAGAATTATCCAGAAAAACATTCATTCAGAAGGTTTTTACGATACATAATAGTTTTACAGAAGAAAACTTCCGTAAAANAATAAGAATTATCCAGAAAAACATTCATTCAGAAGGTTTTTACGATACATAATAGTTTTACAGAAGAAAACTTCCGTAAAAATAACTTCGGAAAACCTTTTGTAAAATGAATCAAAACAGTTATATGACTATAAAAATAACATCATAATATGAAATTCTTTCTTAAAACAAATCAAAACAGCTATTACGAAACAAACTTCGAAAACTAACTTCAAAAATTTTGTAAGGAAAACCTACAAAAATTTAAAACAGTTCTACAAAACATAATTCTATAAAACTAACTTCATAAAGTTTTTCGGATCGGCAAACTAAGTAAGAACTTATGAAACCATCACAGGAGAACGAAAGAGATGAGATATAGCCAAGAGCAAACCAGCTCTCTTCTCTCTTCTCCCAGCATCGCCCTCTATCTCTTCTCTCCTTCCATAATCGCTCATTCTCCTCCCAGTATCACCCTCTCTCTCATCTCTCCTCCCAGCATCGCCCCAATGCCCTCACTCTCCTCTCTCCTCCCAGCATTTCCCTCTCTCTCCTCTCTCCTCCCACAATCGCCCTCACTCTCCTATCTTCTCCCAGCATCGCCCATTACCTCCTCTCTCATCTAGCATCTCCCATTGCCTCCTCTCTCAATCAGATCGCCCGTTGATTTTACAAGAATCACTCATTGCCTCCTCTCTCATTCAGAATCGCTCGTAACTCCTCCTCGGTCCTCAGCATATCCCTTACCTCTTGATATATCGGTTAATCCTCTAGATAAAATGTGGTTTCAGTCAAAATCCTCCACCGTTGCTAGCAGCGACAAACAAAAGACTGAAGTACAAAGTGCTTCAGTCTCTCCCAAAGCTCACTGTATCGCTGAAATTACATTCGTCAGAAAAACTCGCCTAAGCATGGCGACAAGATTTGATTCGTGTTCGTCAAACAGAATGGAGAAGAAAAAAAATTAATATTTTCTTCAATGCGAAAAACAAAAACAACAACAAAATAAAAATGTCACACAAATATTTTCGTACTGTATGAGACTGGAGTCATATTTAATTATCATGTTTAATTAACACACTAATGATAACGAGTTCAAAGAGAAAGAATTGAATACTGTATGAGTTCAAAGATAAAAATGTCAAAGAGAAAAATGTCATATTGTATGAGTTTAATTAACACACTAATGATTCAAAGATAAAAATGTCATACAAAGATTTGTGTATTGTATGAGACTGGAGTCATATTTAATTAACACACTAACGCTAACGAGTTCAAAGAGAGAAAAATGAATTATCATGAGACTGGAGTCATATTTACACGTATCATCTGTTTAGGTTGTATAAGGCACGATCAAAATTGTCAAAGTTGTTATTACCCTTTTTCCCAAATTAGCATATATTTTCTATCCCCGGAGCTTCGAAATAATCTCTTTTTAATGTCAATTTTAATTTTAACTAGATTCTGACATGTCCTCCAAAGGGCGGATATTTTTTTTTCATTATTTTAGAACTTTAATTTTCATATCTGTGTTTTTCTTTGTAACCATATTTTTGTTTTTCTTTGTAATTGTATTTGTGTAAAATATTTTTTAAATGATTAGTAAGAGGTCTTGATAATTGTATTGAATTTATATTGCATAACTATACACTTGTGGCATAGCCATTTCAGATATTGATTTTGTACTTTAAAAAAAAAACAAAGTATAGTTACATTGTTGTTTAGTAATCAAAAAATAATTAAATAGACAAGATTATATGTTTTCATTAAATTTTCATGATTTGATTTCATATATAATAATAATAATGTTTACACATAATATTACACATAATATTTTTTCTTGCATTTAAAAATGAGTTTTGTAATTTTTGACCCAACGTATGGTTTATTTTTATGGGTAGGTAACGCGGGAAAATAATTGTTGAACTAAATATATATCAATTGGTCATAATATTTGTTTAATAAAATATATTAGATTTTGACCCGTCCTTTCAAAGGGTGGGTATATTTTTTGTTTTAAAATTTTTGGAAACTTTAACTTCTATATTTATATTTTTTGAAATCATATTTTTGTGTTTAATCATCTGTCAATAAAATAAAAGATATATTGTTATTAATACAAATGAATAATACATGAGTAATAAATAGTTAGATCAAACATTTATTAATTAGTCATGATCATGTTTAATATAATAAACAAAATTTTAATCAGCATTTAGAAACTGAAAATTTATTTTCTGAGTTAAATAGTTTTATATAAATTTATATATATATATATATATATATATATATGTAAATCTGGAAACATTCATCCGGAATTGAAGAATAAAATTGTACCAGGCCAAAAAACCTTAAGCCAAAACTAAACTGAATTTCATAGATAACTAATCTTATTTTATATTTTTGGAACTGAAAAGAGAACCTAGCCAAGAATCGAATGGTTACCGAGTTTCTAATACAAATTATATATCTATAAATATTAATTATAATTAATTTCTAGATAACCAATATCATAAAATTATTTATAAACCAAATTAATCAAAAACTAAATTTAAGTTATTTTATATTTTAAGAAATAAAAATTATCAGAATTATCTGATGTTTTTATCCGAACAACCCGATTTACCAGATATTTAATCTGAAAACCTTGAACTATCCATTTTTTACCTATAAATCCAAAATTAATTTAAAAAAAAAATACAGAATCAAACTGAAACCTAATTGGACTCATCCTTTTAATATTAGGCAGTTTCTATTTTTGTTATCAAACCGGACCAAAACCAAAACAACATTTTTAATAGAATAAACTAGATTTTGACTCGCGCAACCGCGCGGGTGTTTGTTTTCGTTTATAGTTAGTTATATAAACATTTTGTTTTCACTTGTAAATTGATATATATTATAGTAATCACATATTTACGATATGTATAGTAAATGTTTTTCAAACATAATAATATTATATAATAATTAATCAAATAAATTTTTTCAAATTTTCTATATTATACATGTTTTTCAAACATGTGTTTGTTTATTCTTCTAGATTTTATTGTTTCTTAGATTAGTATTTCATTTTTAGATAAATTAATATAAATAGAGTTTTGATTAAATATTAGTATACTTTAATTTGAAAAGATAATATAAACTTTTTTTGCTAAAAACTAATCGTATAGCTTCATAAATTAATATTATAAAGAATTTTATTAAAAAAGGAACTTTTTAAACAATTTTTTTTTAAAGTATAATTTTAAAAATTTACATCGAAATAAATTTATCTAATATATATAACGTGTAAATTTTGTTAGGGTATATAAATATTTCATATTACTAATCTGTGATTTTTGTTAATATATTGTGGATGCATTTAACTATTATTGACATATTTCTGTATAAATAATAGAAGATTCCTAAACTTATATCTATTGACATATTTTGCGTGACTAATTTGGAAGGTGTAAGGTAATTTACCAAAATCAAATTGTTAAGTNTATATTGTGGATGCATTTAACTATTATTGACATATTTCTGTATAAATAATAGAAGATTCCTAAACTTATATCTATTGACATATTTTGCGTGACTAATTTGGAAGGTGTAAGGTAATTTACCAAAATCAAATTGTTAAGTATATCTTTGTTATTATAGATATGATTTCTCATAAGATATAATAATGATAAGATTATTAGAGAATTAATGTACCATAACTTTCTAGTAATAGTCCATTTTTTAAAAAATCACACATGAAGTCAAGTCATGACTTCTGTTTTAATATATAAGATAGATGATCTGTGTTGACCAAAAAAAGTAAATAGATGGTCTGTATTTTTAGTAAGAAGTTAAAGTATATATCTGAAAAGGTATACTATTACACTGATGAATTGTTTTTGTTTGGTAATTTCACTAAGAGATTTTTCTTTTTTTTCATTATGCAGGTGGAAACTAACTCGAGCACAATATGTTAACGTAAGGAACTTAGACTGATCATAATTTTTTTTATCATGAAAACATCGAACTGGATCAACAGCAATAATTATATAAATGGTATTTGTTGTTGGTATAGACAAGTCTTATAATTGGTTAGGTTCATTCTATTAGATTAGGACTTGGTTTAGTCTTGGTTAAGTATGTAATTGATTTAAACCGGATCTTTCTCTAGGGTATTTACACGCGTGTGGTTTGTGCACGTGTGACGGTTTAATGGTCTCGT